TGTAATTTGAGGACTAGCGTTAGAGGCCTAAAAGTGTTCTCAAACGCCCGAGGAAAAATCTGATGATCCGCGGTGAAGATGCCCTTACTCACTGCATATTGCTTTAGATTTCTGCCCATCTTCATGCTATATATGACACTTAACGAGCCGGCGCACGCTAAATTGTTAACTGCAAGTATGCACAGCTAAACAACACAATCATAGTCGACAGCCGGGCGTATTCCCCTTTTGAGCTATGAAACGCCACTAACATATACGGTATGCAAAGCTAAAGCAAGATCATTCTGAACGAGCACCAGATGGATGGTACGCCCTGCATGATTACACCCACTGGCCAGCCGCTAAACGGTTGATAAGGCGATTATTCCGTCCATCATTTCCCCTCCTTTTCGCTTTTCATATTGCGTCGCAAACTTTAGAATACGACATGCCCTGTACTTTCCGATGGTGTAGGCCGGGGTCGAGAATCAAGTTGGCCCCCGGAGTTAACACTTGTTTAATGTGCTCATAAACAATTCTCCACGCAACCATTATGCGTTGCCGCTCGGCCATCAACGTCACGTTTCCCCCGCTCCTTTTTGTAGGAGTACTACACTACACTGTTCCTTGCTTGCACGTATTTGCATCCAACGGTGTGCTCGAGTCGATAAGATGGGAGACAGGAATGGGTCACCGGAGATATATTCGTGGCTTGTGGTTATCATAGCCATAGCCTAATACGCCAACGGTTCGTGTGCATGTATGCATCGATCAGGGCATCGGGCTGTACTTGACCTACATTGATTAGTGCCTCATATCATTTCCACACGATTATTTTCTAACTAATCCGGGTTTGAGTAGTAGTACTCCCTCCGTCCGGGTTTATTAGGCCTCTCAGCATCACAAGCATGTCCCCTTTTATAAGGCCCCGCATTGGAAAGGTGCATGCATGCAACCATTTCATTGGTTGTATTGAAAGCTATTGTTGTTGGTGCCATGGCTGAAAAGTTAATACACTTCATGTGTGCTTTTTCATTGGCTGCGTGCGTGTGAGAGAGTGCATTGAGAGTGGAATGGAATAATTACTGTGAGCAAATTACTATGTGTCTTGGTCTAAGAAAAGTTGTCTTTAGACCTAATAAACCCGGACGGAGGGAGTACGTACGTACGAACCAAAAGGCAACTTTGCTGGTGGCTGCCGCACGTACGGTTACACTCCGGAGGACGGACAAGCCGTGGTAGAAAACGCTGTGAGTCTGTGACTGTCGGTCGGGGACTGCAGTCAACTATCGCTACGTGATCGAGACGCCTAAGGGCATGTATAATGGTAGATAAGATAATCTTATCTTAAGTCTTGCATGTGATTTAGAGATGATAAAAAAATTCGTCTATAATGGGTTATTTTTTAGCCTTATCTTCAATAACTAGCAATTCCTAAAAATGTGATGAGACATATTGTGCTAAGAGATCATCTCTTGTCTTCTCTTAAATAAGAGAAGACAAGCCTTTTCTTATGAGTTCTTTCTGCTCCACCTCATCATCTATCCTACGTGGCACTCCTAAGATAGCACCATTGTACATGCCCTAAGCAGCTAGCCTGAACTTATTACTGTCCTAAAGAAAACCTAGGCTGGTCTTACGGGCGTTAACTAAATCAGCATGTGCGAGTGCAATTTTGCAGGGAGTTAACGTAGCAGTGACTGGATCAACGAAAACAATTCACTTCGGAATGAAGCGAGATGAAGTGCCGAAAGCCTTACTTCGAATGTTGGCGATGCTTTGCTGGAACGTCGGCGACGCGGTCTCGTCGTCTCCATCCACGCCGTCGCCGTCGCCGTTCTCATCCTCGTTGCCGTCGTCGTCTTCATCCTGGCTGAGGAAATCCATCACAGAGACCGGGCTCAGACGCTGCTTCCGCTCTTGCTCCTGCTCCAAGTGGGGCGTCGCCTCGAGTCCCGCAACCTGTTATTGTCGCCCGACCCGATGCAGATCAAAAACCAGGTTAGACTAAGAACATGATCGGAAAAGACAATCGAGACGTGAGGTGAATTCTCAGGAGAAGAGTGCACTCTTACCTTTGTTTCGTTGCTACGGCGGCCGGCGGCACCTGCACCTACGCTTTGGCCACGCTCCGGGTTCCGTCGTCGCGGTAGCGTCGCCGGTGACGAACCATCCCTCCTCCCACCGGCGGTAGTCGACGGTGAACAGCTGGGCGCCCTCCTGTCCACCGCCTCCTCGCCCCTCCGCTTCTTCCAGAAGCCCATACGCAGCCTCCTCGGAGAATTCCCGGCGAGCGCGACCTCCCCCTCCCTTCCAGTTCCAGGCGGCCGGAACAGCGCGGCCCTCACCGCGGCGGATACCCTCGCGATGACGTCGCCGTTCCGCCGTGTGGTACGGAGCTCGGCGACCAGGTGGCGCGGGTAGCACCCGAAGCCGTCGCGGGAGAGCTCCGCGGTGAACTCCAGCTCAAGCCACTCCTTCAGCATCAGCGCCGGCCTCCCCTCCAACTCCATGGCTGGCACCCTGCGCTTTCTTGCACGGCTGCCCAACTGAATTGCACGGCTGATGGCTGGTAGAGCAGAGGAGACGAGACCTTTGTGACCTTTGGAGTTTGGAGGGTGGTGAACAGAGCTGCAGACGAAGACACTACGAGTAGTAATCTTGTATATAATCTGCCGATTGTGACACGCACGAGTTAGTCGGAGATTCGGGGAGTGGGATGGTTTGGGTGGTAGCGTAGTAAAATTTTGTTTGGAAGCTAGAGCGAGCCGCGCCAGAGGTGCAGAGGATGTTTGCGCTTGGCAGGCCGGGATTAGAGCATCTCCAACAGAGCCGGACGCGCGGCGCGTAAAAAACAGATTTGTCGCGTGCATATCATCTGGTTTGGCGCGGCGCGCAGCGCCCGTTCCAGCAGCCGCGCTGAAATGCAGCGAGCGCGCTGCTCCAGCAGCGCGCAAAAATGCAGCGCGCGCGACTCGCCGGTGCATTGCATATGTCATTTTCAACATAAAATGATAAATATTTTCAACACGAAATTTCACACAAACAAGTTGATGAAAAAAAAATTCATGCCCACAAGTTTAAAATCATGCCCACAAATTCATCCAACCAAGTTCAAAATACAAATCAAGTTCAATACACCGATGTCTTGCCGATGTTTTTCTTCGCCGATGTCTTGCCCTTCTTTGGCGCCGCCGCATTGGGGAGCTTTGAGGAGGAGGGGGCGGCGGCTCGGGCCGGCGCTGGCGCGACGCCACCCGCCACCGAGGTCATCTGCGGCGGCATGAAGAGGCCGCGCGCGAGGCCGATGGTCGGAGGAGCTCCGGCGGAGAT